AATTAATCACGGGCTTAAGAATTTGAGCCCAGGCCCAGCCCAAGCCCAACCCAACCCGCAAATTGCCGGGTTTGGCCTGGCCCGTTGCACACCCTACATATATGTCATCGAATTCAACAATTTTTTAGTATTTGAAACCGTATTAGCATTTAGTTCAGGCACTGAATAATCTTGAAAAATATGATTAAAAAAGTCACGGTTTTCAGGGGTGTTTATATTAACTGGCATTAATTCAAGTTTGATTCGAGGATCAAGAACTGAAGCTATAAAAGCTGCTTCATCATATATATAAACTATATATTAATTGAGTTTTTCCAACATTTGTGTTGTAGCGGTTTTAAAAAATAAAGGGCTTGAGGAATCTTGTATGCATGATGTAATAACATCAACAATATCATCCATTAATACAATAGAAAGTCCTGATATTATATATGTACTACCAGAAAATATATTAGTAACTTCGTAAAATGGTTGTAAAAATTGAGTAACAACTTGAAGATCAGAATCTTCTTGTGGTATAAGCTTGTAATAAGCAAGTTATTGTGACGCCTCATAACTACTGCTATTGTTGTGGGCATAGACGTATAAACTGATAACATAAGGTAAGTACTATTCCACCTAGTTGATACGTCTTGTAGAATTTTGCGAACTACTTCGCCTTCATCGACCGATTGTCCAATTTCCTTAAAATTTTGGGTGATTGTGAATGATGATGTAATAGCCTTCACAAATCTACGTACTTTTTCAATTGATGTTTAATTGGTGTCATTCCTGCCATAACAATGAGATACAGAATATGTGCAAGACAACGACGTGAATAAAAATGAAAATTTTGCATAGATAAGTGCATGTTTAATAAACGAATTGCAGAAATAATATTAGATCCACTATCCGTAGTTGCACAAATAATCTTCGTAGTAATATTAAAAGTTGCTAAAATAGATTCTAGTTTTGTTTTAATATCCTCACCGGTATGTGGATGCGGTAGCATGCACATATTGACTAAAATTTTTTTTAGGTTCCAATTACTGTTGATCCGGTGTGCGATAACACCAAGAAAAGGCATATTAGCACGGGAAGTCCAAATATCCAACGTAATTGAAATATTACTAAAAATTTGTCCAAAAAGGGCTTGAACATCACTTCTCATTGAAATAAAAGAGTTTTGTACAATTGACTTGATGGTTTCACGTGAAGGTAACTCAAGAGCGGCATTAAGAAAGTGTAACAAAGCAATTAATGCTTTACTTTCAACAGTTGAAAAGGGTAAGGTATCCGAAACAATCCACTCAGCCAATAAAGTATTAAATCGTGCCTTTTGATCAACAGTTAAAGTTTGTACTGAAACTGTATTATTTTGCGTAAGTGCAAAAAGTTCAATCGTACTCCACCCTGGGTGTTGTGTATCAAGATGCTTGCGTAATGTGCCCGTTGATGTTTTTTTGCTGAATTCATTTTTGCAAATAACACAAATAACTGGAGAATTAATATCAGTCATATTTTTTTTTGGAAAATATGGTGTGACTACGGATGGTTTTCTATTTCTAGTAACTAAAGAAAAGGAAGTAACGCCTGTGCTCGAACTGGCTATATTGCTATCAGACGTATCTTGTAAAAGGTCTTAGGATTCTGGTGAATTATTACAATAAGAGTCGTTAAGATCCATTTTGACGTTTAAGAGTAAAGAAAAAAAGTTATTTATTGTATAATAAACGAAATTATTAAATATATCATCATCGTTATAGTTTATTATAGTTTATTATTAATTTTAATTACAGTACGTAGTTATAATACGTTAGCGATAGCTTTGTGATCGGCTTACGGCTCTAAACAGCTCACGTAACATAAGCCGTGCCATTCTTTAGCCGAGCCATTCTGTAGCCGAACCGATAAGAGCTGCGGCTAAGCCGATCAGCTCACGGCTCTGCAGAGCCGTTTTGCATCACTATGCACCCGGAAATAGCAATTAATATTGCGCCGGGGATCACCGTAAGCAGTAAAGTTTGTGCGGCTTGGCGCTGGCCGGTGGTTTCCCGCCTGCATGATGCAGGCCGGTGTTATGCTCGAATTTTTCTTTTTTAATTAGTATCATTATTTTATCGTTAAGTATTTCTTATTTTGGCATAGTTTGTGGCACGGTTGGATGATTAAAGCTCCAATCGAGAGATTAAAGCTCCCGTACGAATTAAAAATATATATAAGGGCTTAGTTTCAGCTTATGAGGGAAGAACAGTAGTTAATAATGATTGATAGTATTTAGTATTATTGTAACAATCCTATGTATTGAATTATATTAATAAAGAGAACCTTTATACCCGTAATTATGTGTGTTAGTTTGTTGATTTAAACCCTTTAACCTTAATCTTTATTTGTTCACGATCGTACTAAACCGGCCCAAATTCATCAAGCTCTCCCAACCGATCGTAACATTTGGTGCCGATTGTGTGGACTGAACAAAAGCCGAAGTCGTACTGTGTTAAAAAAAAAAAAAAAATGTTGAATTTGGAGAATAATAAAACGGTCAATGAAAATGGAAGGCCCTGCGAAAGAAACAATGGTTCAGTAAATGAGAGACAACCCAATAATCTGAACAGTCAACTCCAGCGATTGATACAGGCCATGGTGAATATTTTGGCCCAATCACCAGAGTCCCAGATGAATTTTGAGGAACAAATTTTTGTAAAGATCCCGACTTATGCAGGAGGAAATCAGGACCCGGTCGAATGGCTTGAATCGATTAACAGCGCTTTTGAGGCGGATAAAATTGTGGGCGCAAGAAAGTTGGCTGTTGTGGGTGCCAGTTTGACGGGACTCGCTGCATTTTGGTGGGAAGATCGAAACAGTAGAGAACCAAGGATTCTATACTGGGATGACGGGTGTGATCAGGACCGAAGCTTCGTTCACCAATTCTTTTCGAATTTTACTCCGATTATGTTGATCCGGTGGAATATGGAGTTATTAACCCGAAAGCAAGGTGCCATGGAAAAAGTGGATCAGTATGCTGCCGATATGTTGGTGTTGTTTCATCATTTGTCGTGAGTCGGGAATCAGTACTCTGAGAGTACAAAAGTGGAAATATTCGTACAAGGCCTCTATCCAGATC